ACGCTCTTCTCAACTACAAACTCAGGGGGACTTCTGTCACCACTATGTCCTCGACTGAGAGCAACACTGGTACATGCAGCTGCTCCAAAACACTGCTGAGCACTGACACGCAACTAGAGACCTTGGACAAAGTCTGATTGGCCTACATGTCCACCGCTAGGGGACGCTTGAACAAGTCCTGAATGCACACTACCATCTCCAGAGTGGGAAGGAATACCTCTGCTTATCATTGAAAATAAACTAAGACATTCGATAAAAGGGAAACGGAGGGGTCACTCCTCAAACCCATGCTCCAGAACCACTACCGACACCACACTCAGTGGCCAAGACCCCCAACGTCCATTGTTGACACAGCGATGAGAAGGAGAAAGACCTAAATTCATGAAAACATATCCTGCATTCACAGATCAGGAAATGGGATATTGTTAAAGCAGCAACATTCCCCAACCTGACCTACAGGTTCAAAGACAACCTTCTCACAATCCCAGATGCTTCCTTGGTGAAACCGACAAGCTGATCCTAAAATTCATGCAGAATCTCAAGGGACCCCAAAAAGTCAATGCAATCTGCAATCTTTAACAAAGGGTCAGGACTCGCACTTCCCAATTTTAAAACTTACTGTAATGCAATAGTGGTCCAGACCGAGTGGTCTCAGAATAGACATCGGACCAGAGGACCAGGAGAGAGAAGACAGAAATAAATGCTCCACACACACACAACCGACAAGGGTGCCATGCCCATTCAGTGAGGAAAGGACAGTCCACAAATGATGCTGGGATAGCAGCATTCCCACATGCGAAAAAATGAAGCTGGACTCCGCCTCATATCTCATACACAAAATTATCTCAGAATGAACCAAAACCTAATATAAAAGCTAACACCATAAACTCTTAGAAGAAAACACAGGGGTGAGTCATGACCTTGAACTTGGCAATGGCACACGTAAGCGCAAATGAACTTGGCTAGTTCATTTGTGGGTACACTCACAGATGGCAAGTGAACACACCCATACACACCAGAAGGCTGCACCTCTCAAGCCGAAGAGGCGAAACCCATCTCTGGGGCAAAATGTCGGGGCAATATCAGCCCCAGGAGGGCGGACAGTGGTTGGGAGGGGACAGTGGCTAGCAGGGATGTTCCACTCTTCACCTGGCAAAGGAGTGTCCACATGGCCGTATACTCAGGAGTCCAAATCTCATCTGTATGTTTGTTACATGTCACTCAGAAAGTTAAAATACTAATTCTCAAATCAGAAGCCACAAGACAAAGGCTCAGAGCTGTAGGCCCTGAGCTGTAGTCGGCCTTGGCAAACCAATGCTACACAAACTCATTTGGTCAGTGATGCTGGGGCCAGACAGTATTGACATTCATAAAGAGAAAAAGGGACAATGGTCACCTCTCATCTTACTGAAATCAGGGGAAAGAGAGCTGACAGGACTATCAAACCAGGGAGTGCAGTCAGGGGTAGGCGCCATACCGATCATAGGCATGCTGGAACAGGCCGCACCTGAAGGAGCCGCTGAGTTTTCCAACCATACATAGGCAGTTACCTTGTTCTCTTTAACTTGTCTGAACGGAGTTTCCATCACTCAAAACTGCAAGCAGCCCAACACACACAAACTGCATCCTCTGTGTGGTTCCCCTTTACTCAGATGACAAAAACTATTTCATGTGGGCCCTACAGACCCCATGCTGAGTAGCCTGGGAAAGGAGGTGGGAGGGGACTCACCGCATGCCTGGGGGCACACCCAAGCGGGGTCCTCTGGCCAATGAGCTGCCCTGCCAGGCGCCATCCTCCCCGTCAGACTCCCCGGAACCCTGGCCATCCTCCTCCTCCTCGTCATCATCGAACTGCTGGATCCGGTCTTTGTAGCAGATCTCGAGCAGGTTGGCATTGGGCTGCAGGGTGTAGCGGCGGGAGAGTGGGCTGGGCTGCACTGCCCATGGCCCCCTGCCACCACCAGAGGATGGGGCAGTACTCACGTTCTCGTCATCGGCATTGAGGGAGAAGGTGATGTTGGCCGTCTTGTCAAAAGGGGCACTAGGAGAGAGCACAAGAGCAGTGAGGGGAGGCACACAGGCAGCAGCTGAGGATTTAAGATTGTAACCTGGGTGACAGATTATACACAGGCCTGAACTTCCCCAGGAGTGCAGTTCGCGTTCACAGCGACCTTAATGCAGCCACAGCGAGAGGTGAAAATGGAATGTGGGACCCAGCTGAAGCTAATTTTCCTAAGGACACAGCTAACCTAGCCCCATCTGCAGTGTGTCACTGCTGTCAAGGCCGAGTCAACATCTTCCTCCTATACCCACTTTTGCTCCATTCTCTGCACTTTCAGAAAGCCTCACAGAAGTGTAATTCCTGAAGGAATTAAAACCATGCATTTCAAATACTGACACAAACTGCTAAAAACGGTTTGTTACTTCTGCTATCAGCGAAATAAGCAATTTCAAGAGCCTCGTACTTGTTTCGTTGGCATCCTTCTAAGTGTCAGTCCTGTTCGTGGTGAAAGCACTGTCTACCCAAGGGCCCACGCTCTGCCCATGTGGCAGGGAGACCTCCTAGGTTATCTGGGAAGCTCTCTCTCCAAGTCAGCAAACATTCTGCCACAAAGGTCAGTGGACTCATGTGAGTCAGCAGCTCCTGAGTGCTGACTGGGCACCACTCTTCCTATGCTTTCTTCTCACCACCCCTCGTACGACAGGCATTCCTCTCTCCTCTGAAACACACAGAAGTGAGGCAGGGCCAGGCGGGGCCAGGCTGAGCACTGGCACAGTGGGTCAGGGGTGATCTCTCCTACAGGGCAGCATCTTCAGCAGAAGGTATCAAGATATCCACTGTTTTTCATTCCAGAACATTCCATGACTTTGCTCTTTTAGTTTTTGACCCCACGGGAATTTATCTTGACGGAGTAACAGTTTTGTCCAAAAGGACAGCTGGCCAGCCTAACGCCATTCACTGAGCAGGATAGGGCTGGGTCCTCCCTTGGGCAGTGTCTTCCCCAGGTGTCCTAGGCCTCTCAAAGTGATGGGCGCTCCCGAGGACTCCTAGTGCCCGGTACTGTGCAGGGAGAGCAGCAGCAAACACGCTCTCACACCTGCATCCAAGGGACCACTGTCCGGCTGTGGGCACTACAGACCAAAGCTGACCCTCACACTGTTGCTGCACAGGGTCACTGACCAGCAGGTGCCCCAGTCTCCCCAGCTGTAAAGTGGCTCTCAAACCCTAAGCAGAGAGTAGTCGTGGGCACATAACGGGTAACACTGAAAGGTGCCTGGCACGCTGCCAGCTGACAAAAAGGACAAGGGTAGTGACCCCGTCTCAGCTGTTTCCCAAAAACCCAGGCACAGCTATGGCCCCTCCTGCGTGTCCCTGGACCCCAGCGGACCTCTCTCCATCTGCTTCCCTACGGTCCACCTCAGAGCATCATGGGCTCGTTCCTCAAAAGGAGCCTCTTCCGCCCATGGGGCAGCGGCACACCTTGCTGTTCATAGCGCTTCTCTCAGGGGCCCCGAGGGCAGGCTCCGGAAGCCCTGAGGTACACACGAGACCCAGGACCAGTGGAGGCACAACCTGGCTCAGAAAGGAGGCCCCTGGGCAGGTGGGTGATGAGCCACTCACTGCCCTCCACAGGCCGTAGCCAGCCACTCCACTCCTGCCCCTGCTACAGTATCCACTGCACTCACTTGGCCACCTGCCCTTCTCTTCACTGTCTACCTGGTGCTGTCTGTCACAAGGTTACTTGTACAATCTACAAAACGTTAGTAAATTTTAATTTTTTTCTGACCACAAACGCAACAGACGCTTGTGACAGAAAATTCATAAAATAAAGAAAGAAGCCCGTGACTACAACACCAGGGATGGTGATGCTAAAATACTGTCACCCAACAAATACAAGAGTACAGAACTGGTCACTGGAAAAGAGATCTCATCTCCCCACAGCCTCTCAAGGGGCGAGAGGTGACCCCGGCCTCTGGAGCCATCCTGACTCTGTGAGGGCTCATCTCATGAGCCCGATTGGGTCTGGGGGCAGGGTAGAGGGGACACCAGGGAGGACACAGGAAGGAGGGCAGGAGGAGCCATATGACATACGGCCTCACACAGGCACACACTCACTTCACGCTTTCTTCCTGCTCCCCAAACTCCTCATCATTGAAGCCGAAGTGGTCAATGAAGGCCGAGGTCATGCGCTGCATCTGGAAGTCCATGAAGGCCTACGGGGAGGAGGGTGTGCAGTCAGGGTGGTGGGTGAGGCCAGGTGGGGCAGGACCCACCAGCGTAGCCTACCTGCTGCAGCACAGCCTCCTCAGGGAAGCTGAGCTCCTTTAGCCTGTCGTCCTCGTCGTCACTGGAGGAGTGCAGGTGGTGGCTGCTCACCTGGGTGGGCAGGTGGCAGGGCATCAGGGCCTGCGGGGCCCCCAGGCAAGGATGGGGGCAAGGACGGGTTGTGGGGACAGAAAGGCCAAGGCTCGATGAAGAGGAATGAGGCAGCAAAGGTACAGCAGCCGGGGCTCACCAGGTCCACCATGTTCTTCCTGTTGGTCTCAGCCAGGGGTCCCGACACGAAGGCTTCCCACTGTTCCTGCTGCTCACCTGGCAGCTCTGCTCAGCGGGAGGGGACGAGGATGTGAGATACCCCCCAACTCTGCCTCCATCACCCCACCATCCGGCAAGCCTCTGCCTCACCCTTCAGCAGCTGCCCTAGCTGCTCAGCGTTGGGCCCCTTCTCTGTGTTCTGCACCAGGGCGTTGGCCACTCTGGTCAGGTGGCCCATGTAGCCTTTCCGAGGGCCCCCGGCAGACCTGGGTGAAAGTGGAGGCCACGGCTGGACACAGGCGGACACAGGCGGACACTGTGTCCCCCTCCCCACTGCCCAGGCAGGAAGGCCAGGGCACACTCACTGCACACGATCATTCTCCTCCCAAGACGTCAGGATGCGCTCCACCAGGCGGCACTGCTGCAGCAGCTGTGGGAGAAGGGGGATGCATGGGCACGGGGGCCAGCCAGGGTGTCACTGCTACAACTAGCCAGGCCCCAGACTCAGTCACCTACAGGTGAGAGAATGATGGGGCCCCACCGTCTTGGCCTGGCATCCAAACCTCTGGTCTTTCCACGAGCATGCAATACCCTCACACACACACAGCTGTATACTCACACATGCCAGCCCCCACTGTGCTTCCCACTCTGCTCCCCGAGAAAGGTCCTCAGCCTGTCTGATCTGCTCAGTCGAAACAACAAACCCCAAAGGTACCCTGCCTGTCACCCACTCCAAAGCTGACCCTCCCCACTGAACAGTTCCTCCCTGAAGCCTTAGGCTATTCCCAGGTAGTGTTCCACCTCCCGTAGTGGCTGTCACCCCAGGAGAGTCCTTTCCTCTGTGCCCTAGGGACACATGCTACCTCCTGAAATCACTGTGTCCACTCACCTCCCCATACATCACCCATATCTATTTCTCCCACACATAACCTAAGAACAAGGCCAAGCCCCAAGCTCCCAAGATATGAAGTCACCCACCAAGTACTGGTCAGCAGGACAGGTGACAGAAATAGCTAGGGAAGAGCCCACCCCCAAATAAATGGAGGGGAGACCCGGGAGCCACAGCTCACGTGTTTCACGCCGGGGTTCGGGGCGGGCATCTCAAGGCTGCCATCAGAAGGGGGCCCAGCGCTCAGCATGGCGCTCACACATACCTCCACTTGAGTGTGAAGGAAGTTGTTGAACACGTAGTGGAAAAAGAGGTCCTGGAAGGGGACGCAGGCTGGCACTGAGAGACCTGTCCCACTGGCCCTCCCCCACCCCACCCCATCCCGCCCACCGCACCAGCATGGTGTTGGGCACATCCAGCGCCAGGAGCTCCTGTGTCAGGGCCGCATCGTTGGCACTCAGGGCACTGGCCAGCAGCTTGACCACATGCAGCCGTGTGTTGCCCAGAGGCGGGGACAGGCTGCCCCACGTTGTGCACAGTGGCTCCAGCTGCAGGCACAGGAGAAGCTTGATTCCCAACCCAGCACTGCTGGGAACCAAGGACCAACACCCCCACACCCCACTGGCCACATCCCCCCTGGCCTACCTCGGGTGGTGTGAGCAGGATCTGGTGGAAGTGGCTGAGCCGAGGACGCAGGGCGTGCAGGGCGCCCATGCTAGACACGGTACTGTCCAAGGTTGCCTGGGCCAGGAGCTCCAGCTGCCCATCCACACTGCTGAAGAAGTTGTTCATGGTCGCAGATTCGGATCTGCAGCAGAGGCAGGATGGAGAGCAGGGTGAGCTGCCCAGATGGCCTGCATGTACACACATGCATGTGTGGGGGACACCTGGAAGGGAGTGAGAAGCTGCTCCCAGAGGGAACCCTTCCAGGCAAAACATCAGGGGTAGGGAATGAGAAGGGAAGCATCTAGGCAGGGTGGGAGCCTGGGGACCCTGGGGTAGTGGCCCCACTGTGCTGTGGGCAGTAACCTGCCTCAGGGGCCCCAGATTCCGACAGCTATGGGTGGCTGACTTGGCCTCCGTTGCCTTGGCTGTCAGGAACAGAACTTCTCTCCAGGACCATGACGACCACCATGAAGGAGACACCACTTGTGGAGGCCAAATCCCTGTAACTTCCACCCCCTGAACTGAACAGAGGTGCCCAGGGAGGCGGCCCCTCACCGTGGCCTCCTGGGCTCCAGCAGAGTCAGCAGCACCTGGATCCCGCTGACAAGAACAGATGGGCTGGGATCCCCTTCCAGCATGTTGCTCAGGAGCTGCTCGATCGTCTCCTGCCTGGGACAAAGGGCATTAGGGTGAAGAGCCTGGGACCTGGGGCCCCCAGGACAGCTGCCCACCCTGGACTGGGGTGCCACCCACAAACCCACTTCTCCAGGGTTGCCAACAGCTGGTCAGGCTCCGGGCTGTCCTGAACTTGGATCATCTGCTCCCGGCTCAGGCGGATGATGTCGCACAGGGACTGGGACGCGTTGGAATGTTGCTGGGGAGGTGGAGAGCAAGCTGAGGACCCCAGGCCAGCAGCTGGGTCCTCCACAGCTTGGTATAGGGACTCGTCCCATAAACTAAGCACCTGGCCCCAGCCCTTAAGGACAGGCGCAGAGGCTCAAGAGACACAGGGACACAAATGCCAAAGGAGGGAGCTCAAGGTACCAAACACTGGGAGAAGAAAGATGGAAGACAGAAAGGGAAAACGAAGGCAGGCTCCCTGTAAAAGACCCACAGAAATCCTGCATTTGGTGCATTCACAACAGCCAAAGAAGGGACGTCCAGTCACTGATAAACAGACAAGCAACGACGTTTTGACCACAAGCAGAACGTTTCCCAGCCTTAGAAGAATGGGGCACCCACAAACCACAACATGGATGTACACAGGATACAGCGCTAAGGCAGAGACCAGCCCCAGAACCATGTACATGTAAACGAAATGCCCAGAAGAGGCAAACCCAAAGACAGAAAGCAGACTGGTGGCTGCCAGGGGCTGCAGGGCCCTGAGGAAAGCAGAGAGACAACTAACGGGCACAGGGTTTCCTTTCCAGAGAGATGGAAAATAGCCCAAAAGTGATGCGGTAATGGCTGCACAACTCTATAAATATAGTAAAAACCACTGAATCCTATATTATAAATGGGTACACTACGTGGTACGTGATTTAACTTCAATAAATCTATTAACCAAAAAAGAAAAACAGAGGAGGAGCAGGGTGCTGAGCCTAACCCAAGAGGCAGCTGCCAAGGGCCCCCACACAGACATAGAACCCATCCAGGCCGTGGCTTCATTTCAGAGCTCGTCACAGGTGGGTGCTCTTGCCCCTCTGCCACAAAGGCCTAGATGGTCATCACCAATCCGGGACGGGTGCTGGCTGGGCGCTGATGACCTGTGCCTGTGGCTGGAGGACAGCCGAGGCCCCATGAGCTGTTGGTGAAGAAGCGGGGCCTCCAGGTGGGTTCTCTGAAGGACAAACAGGGCTTGTCCAGG